GTAATGGCCGCTGTTGAAGCGTTTTGGGAGGGTCAAGACGAAGAATTTTTTTTACAAAGAGAATCCTGGGTTTAGAAAAAAAAATGGACTAAATGTATTGATTTGTTAGACTATGTAGAAAAATAAATTATTATTTTTGGAATCACCCCTCGTATGTCATAATAAACGAGCATACTTCGTTTGGTCCCTTCTTTGCTTGCCCTTCATGATTTACGAACAGGACATTTTTTCCCGTTTTCAAATTGTGAATGCAGAAGATAGAAACGCTCAGCTGCCGCAAATAAAATATTTCTTGCACTGAAATTATTGGCAGTGACATTTTTCATGCAATCATAGCAAATTCCCAAAAACGTTTCATCTTCTTGGGATCCTTGCCTTGCTTCTTGAAGTTTATCATAGAACTTCTTTACCCTCTTTTTGTGTACTAGCTTTTCGGCCAAAGCTACCTTTTTAGCTACGTAATTCAGGGTTTTTGAATTGATTTTCAAGTCTAGACTCTCGCAGAGGCAGCACGTATCTACTGCTGGTCATCCAAAGCGAAGACCGAAGTTCTCCCCGAGTATTTTATTATAATGTTCGTGCTTAAACCTAATCTCTGGGTATTTTTCCTTATAAAGTCGAAACATTTTTATTAAGACACATTACATTACTAATAAGTTAGCAGGAAGATACTTTATTATGCCAGAAGAGTAGTGGCTCTTTTTTGCTGGAAAACGGGATATATGAGAGATCACTGCAGTAATTTCATCACCAGACATCGCATTGACCATTTTCTTTTTCCCTCTCTTGTTTTCCGGTATTTTACCCAAAACCAACAAGTCATGAAGCCTCTTAACACGGTCCTTAGTAATACCAAACATGCTAAGAAAACCAGAATGGCATGCTTCTTTCTTCTCATTACCAATTTGAACGATGTATGTAAGCATTTTCTGTCTCAATAGGATCTCCTTCAGCACTGGGCGTCGTTTTATGTCCTTACCGGATATTAACCCCTGGAGATAGATATCTTGTTCATTCTTTGTCCCAAGTTATATAATTTGGGAAGGTTTTCTTTTTTGTCATTTTCGGATATGATTTCCCAGCATTTTTAGCACACTTGCATGGAGGTCCTGTTGTCTTAGCCTGTACAGTTTTATTTTTTGCTGTCACATGGCAGCCTGTCCATGAATATGTTTGTTTGATCTTATTCAGAGAATAATCAGCAGAGTTATCACGCCGTTTTTTCTCATCTGGGTTTAAATAAATTACATTTTCCTCCGTTTCAGCACTCATTTTCACCATTAAGCAGCAAAATTTAATTTAGTTTGTGTAATACAAGTAATTCGTGTCCGTTACAGTCACTTCATTTCGTTGTTCAAACTAACGTTAAAAATGTTAATATTGACAGCTGACAGTTTCAATTGTTGCCACATGTTTGGTTGTAAAAAAACACCTCATCCAGGATAAGGTGGATTTTTACGTTCAGTGAAATTTTAGTGCCGCTATAACTGTGGGATACTTACATGACTGAGATGTGTTTCTACACTCAAACGGTTTGTCTTGCCGTAAGGAATATAAATCCATCATAAACAGTATTTCGGAAAAAGTGGTCTGAGTTGGGTTTTTACAATCATGCATTCATACACTTTGGAAGAACTTTCGACAGTCTAAAGAACACGTACACACAGTACAGTTTGCATTTTGAAAAGAGTATGCACGGGAAGAAATAACTGAAGAAAACAGCTATACCAATGTTAATTTTACCAACCAACGACTGTTGATGACGATGTAAATCTAAAATGAATAATTAAATGAGTAAAATCTGAAAAAGAACTCTGACGCATATTATCATAAAACGTTATGAAGGCAGAGGGAGTGTTGTCTTCGCTCTACAAAAACAGTCCTTAAAAAAATAAAATGTAGTGTACTAAATAAACACTTTACTCTTCACGCTTCACACTTCAGGTCCTTGAATAAACCTTTAAACTTATTTTCAATGCGAATCAGTTGCGTCTTCTTATGTTTTAATAACGAACAACCTAAAAGTACTATCCCGCTCTACTAAGCGCGCCAAGATTTTTACAAGCAAATTTAGCCTTCCTTCCAAGTGAACGTGGAACTGAACCTCTTTCGATATGTTGATACTAGCTGGGAAATTGAAGCGATGTGACAAATTGGTTCTTTTTTGTGGTAAATGTGCAAACAAATGTGTTAGTAAGATCAGTGCAAAAAAATGTGTTAATAAGATCAGTAGTCGGACCATGCACCGTCTACTACTCTTGATGCTTTGATCAAATCAGGCATCATAATGAAAATAAAAGCAAGAATATGCTGCTATTTACTAACTCATTATTCTTCTGAAACACACATTTTTAATAAAGACTTCAAATGTAAATGACCCTTTTTACCGAAAATGAGGCATTTCATCTTAGTCTTCAGGGGTGACAATGCATCTGCATTTTGATTCTAAATAGATTATGAGGACAGATATAGGTGTCTATGGCCCATAGCATGCGCTTAGCATCAAGTGCTCATTTGTTACCCTTATTCTATAAAATCATAACATTATCATTCATGTAAAACTTAATATACATAAATTTTAGCTTTCTGCAATCCTTCTCTATAATATAAAGAGTCGAATTCCTGATGTAAATTACATTTTCAATATAATGTATCTTACACTTAATTTAAAAAATATACATACTCCTGAACAGAATATAATATCTACCATATTCCCTTTTAATAATTAAACCTGTTTTTTTATCTTTAGATTTTTCTTATATAACATAAACACGCCACCCAGAGGGATAGGCAGAGACTACAGACTTCCATTTAGCACGATCCTGACATACCTCTCTCGCCTCTTCCACATCCATATACCTATGCATACATGCTCATCGGTTAAGGGTACTCTTAATTTGGCCCATTTTTAATATATCGCCAATTTGGTCGACAAACTTCCGCCTAGGACGTCTCTTTCTGACTCTTCCATTTACTTCTGCAACATATATTTGCTTTGTCAGTCTTTCCGCATTCATTCTTTCTACATGACCAAACCACCAAAGCATTCCTTTCTTAATCCTGGTGACTGCATCATCTTGCAAACCACACACTTCGTTTATCACACAGTTTCTCACCCTGTCACTCAGATTCAGCCCTAACATACTCCTTAGCGACCGCATTTCTACTGCATTTATTCTACTCTCGTGCTTCTTCTGCCACACCCAACTTTCACTACCATATGTTAAAGTAGGGACTAATACAGTATTGTGAATGCCATATGTGCCTTTTTACCATATACTTTATTTGCTGCATTCACTCGTCATTCAATATCCTTATCATATCTCCCATCCCTGCTGAATACACATCCCAAATATACGAACTCATCCACTTGCTCAATTAACTCTCCTTCTATTCTTATTTCACATACCGTTTTGCTTTCTTCTCTTTCAAAAACCATCACTTTCGTCTTACTTGCGTTCACTTTCATTCCCCTTTCTTTTAATGACCTGTTCATTAATGTAACCCATTTAAGTACATAATTTATTTGAATAGTTCTAATTTACATTGTATTGATTGGATGATATTTGTACTCCAAATTAACCCAAAATTGCATGACTCAATCTGCGAATGTTATGTACACTTGTTATTGATATACATATCAGAGAGTATGGAAATGTGTATGTTTTTGTGATTGTCATATATGTGTATTGTACATGTACTTGTTAAATAAAAATAAAATAAATATAAACTTTAATAAGCCATATCTCAAACTTCCCCTCACTTGCAATATGCTAAAAAGAGATACAAATATTTCCCATAACATATTAATATAAGAAGTATAAAAAGAAAGAGAATTAGTTAAGATATATTTTTAAATAATTAGTTTCCTAATATAAACAGTTTGCGACAGTAAACAAAGTTACGAAAAATATAAAATTTTGATTTTAATTTATTAATACATTTCAAAAATTATTAAGTTTTGATTATTAAATTCCAATTTTTCAAAACTCTGGTTTTAATACAGAGGGAAAGTATCTTCATTATTTTGATTGAAGTCAAACACTGGTTCATAATAATTTAAAAAATAGAATTTTAATGTAAATTATTTTTTAATATACAGAATGTTATTCCCATGCTGTTAATTTCAATTTACTGTGGTGATTCTTAAACATAAATTGGACAAGGACAAACAGCCAAGCCTGAAGTTACTATTTGCAGGCTTTTCAAATGCTTGTTTCAAGGGGGAATCAAAACAAAAATCCTTAGTCAATAAACTATTGAGCTGTCAAATTAATTTTTGTGTAATGTCAGCAAATTATTTAATTTTACACTTTCTTTTTTTTAATTATCGCTACTTTATTGTCTCAGACATGATGCATTTTTATTTGTCCATTAACTAATCTAAAAAAACATCATCACCATTAAGTATAACCCTTTACAAGTCCACTGTAGAAAATAGGCCACCCCAAAAAAAGACAAAGCATGGTCCTGAGCCACCTGCATCCATCGTCAAAATTTCAAGAACAGTAACTGTAAAATATATTTATTTTAGCACTAAGTGTACCTGGACAAGCTTACACAGCTAACAGCTCTCAAGGTGCACATAAGTTTGGCGAACTTAATAAGACATTATTACCACTGTTTGTGGTTTCTGTTTTTATTACTATGCGTACTTCTGGGAGGGTTTTACAGAATATCCTCCATGCTGCCCCAGTGATGGACTTCACATCTTTGAAATATTTTTTTTAATTTATCAAACCTGCAATTTTATCTACATGATGTTATCCTTCACCACCGAGCAAGTTGTAAATCAGCACTTAAATTTTTTTTTTGTAATTTACTTAGTTGGGGTCGAGAGAAGAGAGAGGAGGTCTGTGCCCAGCTGTGGGACGTAACTTTATTTTTATGTACTTTTTATGTTTGAATTTTCAATACAGACATATCTATTATATTTTGGTAGAGCTGAGAGATGGATTTAATAAGTAAAAAATTTAATAATACAATAATTTTAACCTCACCAGATTCTGTAGATATTCCCGCACCAGTTAGTATTAAAATATTTTGATGTCGACTAATAAAATGTTTAATAGCTTTACAATCTTTTTCATCGGGTGGCTTATATGACGGCACGAAGGATGTATGTCTTAATGGAAATTTACACATTATTCGTTTAAACATAACTTTAGTGTTGGTTTTCTAATTATGGCCTTTAAATTTATGAGAAAATACACCAGTAAGATGGAACAATAGGTTATATTGTCCTATGAAAAAAATTTAAAAATACGTATGTATAAAAGGTTCTGTAAAAAGTAAACGAGAAATGTTTTTCTATTGAAAATGCATGATAAATTTTTCAATTTTATGATTTTAGTCAGCGTACTGTATGGACGGGAGGCTGATGAATGTTGTTTTAAGATTTTTTAAAGAATTAAAAATTTTTATGAAATTTGGTCACTTATTTTTCTTTTTTTCCTGCTAAAAGAAAAAAAATGTTTTCTTTTTGTTTTGATTTTCAATGATAGAAAATTTATTTTTTAATTTGGTGATTTAGTAGGGACCCGCAAAAGTATCGAGTATCTGAGTAGTATCGATATTTTCTAGTTCCATCTAGTTCGAAATTTTGTACTCGATACTTTTATTATAGCCAACCAAATCTAAGAAATACTTTTGACGTTTTGACTTTTGACCTTTTGACGTTTTGCACATTAAGAGAATTGTGAAGCTGTAAATTTTCATACAAAAAGCGATAGGTAACGTTTTCCCACCCGTAAACATAGATTAATTTTCATTATTTTTGGAAATGATATAGATATAACAAAAAAAACTAGGTCCGTACGTTTTAATTTTAAAGAAATATTACGTACGATATAAGATATTAGCATCTAAATATCTGTATTTTTGACATAAAAACTTCCTCGAACGTTTTTAATTTTCTTAATTAAACTAAACAGATTTACTAAAAATTAAAAACGTACAGACCTAGACTAATGTATACTGAATCTAATGAGACTAAAATTATCTCATTTCGTAATGGTTTAGGAAGGTAAAAATGTTATTGCTCGAAACAATATTTCAATAAAGAAATGTAGGCAATTGCTTCCAAGACTTGCAACTCTCTCTATCGCACGATACGGGTCGGGAGGCAGAGGTACTGATGTACCTAGTTATCGTTTGTTGTTATTAGATGTTGGAGATTTTATCGATATATATATATATACGTATAGATTTGACGGCTACGTGGCGCAGTTGCTTAGTAATGAGTTATAGCGCTGATGGCCGCAGGTTCGAATCCCACACGGTACAAGTATTTGTATGACCTACAAGTAATTGTTCCGGGTTTGGATGTTTGTCCTTGTGCAATTTATGAATGTAAACTGCCTCCATGATACAGGAGAAAATTTATAGTGTGCGCAGTAGTAACTTAAAAAAAATATTAAAAAAGATATTATTATGGTCTAGTGAGAAGAAAATAATATTTCTGACGAAAAAAATAATATCAGTGAATAACTTCATTGATTAGGTATTTAGTCTTTTTATTTTAGAGTCTTTATGGAATAAGGACTGCAACTTAAAAAGATTTCGAGATTACACTTAATTAGGTAGGTGAATAAATAAAAAAGTACCTAACAACTTGTGGAAATTATTCTTTTATACTACACATTACTTTATTACACTCTTTCTCGATCTGCCATAATTCTAGGTACTCGAGAGTCAAACAGTTTTAGTAATAAACACTGAAAATAAAATGAGTTATGTTTTGGCTGCATTTTTTCTGTCTAAAAGTGGTCAACGTACTTAATTTTTTCATACGCTAAAACATGTGGTGTCCATACCACGAAAAAACAAAATGGCCTACCAGTGATATGTAATTTTCCCTGGAGGTGATAATAGTAATCATGATTTCTTTTTAAAATAATATGTCCTTCTCGTATCAAACAAAATTTGATCTTTTTTCAGTTATGGCCTACACAGGTGGCATATTAGAAGCAGAAATAGGACATTTGACTTCAATTAGAGAGTCATCTCCGATAAGTCCATCGGGACTTGCCCCTAAATAATAATCATCTTAATCAATAAACAGTCCACACACCGAAACTTTTAGGTTGGTAGTTGTGGAAAATTCTCGTATGGCCTTCGATCCGTGTTGGTTTCCATATTCGGTTGCCGTATTTCCTTTGAAATGAGTACAGTATACAGTATAGTACAGAATACAGTAACTTTCAAACACGAATTATTTGGGCGCAGTTTGCCATTTTTCCAAATTTATATGCAGTTAGCCTTTTTTCCGTTCAGTGTGCCACAAATCATTGTCTCTTTGACCTCTAGTAGCCAATTTTAATTCTTTTATTTCGTCCTCGTTTTTTTGCAAAGAAGCCAAAATCTCTTCTTTCTTTTTCTCAAAAACATGATTGGCACTGATGACACTGATTGTCACTTGTTTTGATGTTATTAATTTTTTCCGCGTCAGTGATGTCTTCGTTCTTCCAATGTTTCACGGCGCCAACTACTGCTATTCGGAGACGCTAAACATTGCTCTCAACTCTTTTTCTTGTAGGTACTGGTACATAACCTTATTGGTTATTATTTTTTCCAACTGCTTCATTTGTAACAAACATTTCTGAAAAGGTGATTTTTGCATTCTACTTATTTCACCATGATGTTAGAACCGTATGGCATAGTAATCAATAGTCCAATTATGATACCAGAGTCGCTATCGCCAATCAGCATGTGATATTTAACGCCATGTATTTCAACGCTTCTTTGAAAACCCTCCACTATTATGCCTTCTTCCATCGATGTAGCGCTGTTAGACCTCTAATATTCATTCGACGAATATTAGGTGAACATCGTCCCTGCAAATTACTGATCCCGTAATTCTTTGTCAAGCTCAGAGTCACTGAAGAATAAACAGAATGATAATAGTTTAAAATATATTTTACGGATAACTAATGCGGACAAAAGTCGCGGGCAAAAGCTAGTTTATCTTTAATTCGGTTCATTATTAAAATTTAGATTAGTAAATTAGTAATTAGAATTAGTAATACGAACAACATACTCTTACGGACTAATATTATTTCTAGACAAGTGGTAAAATTCAAAATGTTGTACAACCGACTGCAATAAAACTCATGATAGAGAAATCAGTGAACATATATAAAAAAAAATAAAAGAAAAAACATATAGCCTAACATGGAACCTCGTCGTTTTATGGAGTCTTAAAAATCAACATCAGCTATTCCATATTTTTTATTCTGGTGGAATAAATTTCGGTCTATCACCTCTCAAATCACAAATCAAAGTATGATCACAGAATAAATAATACTACGTATGATACCTATATAACATATATGATATATATGTTATGTGGTAAGGTATGCGATCAAAGTAAGTAAGTGTACTTACCTGTTGATTTTAGAAGTTAGCGTTACCCATCATTTCGATTTACGAAAAAAATGAATTTTTCTTCGTTTTGTTGATAAACGTAGTCGACTTTTTTCCTCGCCTATAATCTTTATCTTCCATTCTAAAAGGTATAAAATAATTTTAATTGAATGAATATACTCATCGTAAAAACTGGCATTTACCTTAGGCAGATATAGATAGGTAGGTATTTAAATATAAAAATAACAGCTCACTTCTAAAGGTATATGTATTTAGTACCTACTAAATGTCACACACTATGTAGTAAGTATAATAAAATTGCAAAGAAACACAAACAAATTGAATAATTATGTCACTTGTCGTCAAAGACATTTAAGTATGTATAGTATATATATATTTAAATCTCTTTGCTTGTCGTAAATGTACGCAAACCGCATAGACCACAATTCGCAGAATATGCCCGAGCGCCGCTTACTACTGCTATTGTAGTGTGCGTGAGAATTTGTTTATAATATTTCGTATTTGTATTGTTCGCGCCCGGAGGGAGGCAAAGCGTGCGATATGAAACAGATAGCATTTTCGAAAATACTTACTCACGCCGCGTATCGGCACTTCACAATCCTCTTAATCATGCCGCAATAACTTTGCACAAGCAACTCACACTATTTAAAATAACCTTTTACGTAAATCTGAAGAATTATGAAGTTATCTATATTTCATTACAATTTTGTATCACTAATTTAAATTTAAATCTTTCAAACAAGGCAAACTATTAAAAAATAACCAGTATCAACTTTTTTTACTTGACGTCGTTTCAATGATATGTCGCTACGTACATTACTGAAGTGTTTGAATGATTAAAATTATTTTTTATGTGAATAATCAGCAAAACATTCAAATAATCGAATCATTAATTTTTTAATGTATTATTTGTTTAATTTAATTTTTATTTTAAAAATTCCTTAAATTAAATGAATCACGAATAAAACAAGTTTATTTTTTTACCTTGTCAAAGTAAATTTGTGTAGGCAAAAAAAACTCATATACAAGGCCGTGCTAAAATAACCACTAAACTCTGATTTTTCATTCCGTAGAATTCTGACAGCTATCATTTTTTGACATGTCAGAGATTACAAACCTTTTTGGCCGGGCACATTTTTCAATTTCAATACGTGTCTGAACATCTGAGTCTATACATACATTTTATTTGTTAGTAAATGTATCCATTTTATTAAGTGCGGTACTCTACATGGTTTTACGGCGAGTGATAATTACGTCCCTTTTCATTACAAACAGTAAAAAATGCACAAGTAAAAATAACATATTTTTATTAAAATCTTTAGTCATCATTAATACTTATATCACTATCTTCATCATCGTCATCATCGCTGACATGAATTATTAAAGAGTCTGCGACTGTGTCAATGAAATCGTCGAGAGTGCACATCTTATCTTCTTCTTTGATTGTATGGCTGATACATTCTTGCCATTTATCAGGAGTAATACTACTTATACTTTCCAGTAATAGTTTTTTAACTTCCGCCATTTTAAAACTTCTGTTGTGTCTTGCGACATGCCCCTTCACTTGAGCCCACACCAATTCAATAGGGTTGAGCTCACAATGATATGGGGGCAGTCTAAGCACAGTAATGCCTTGTGCTGTGGCCATCTCGTCTACAATACACTGTTGATATTTGTATTTCTCCTGACCCACAATTTCCAATAAATTAACTTTTAGCATTTTTTCTTCAAAATTTAAAT